TCGTTTGACCGGCTGGCGTGATCTTGACCTCAAAGCTGGACAGCAAACACACATGTTCCCACATGCTGGGAAGATCTTCCGCGAGATGACACCCATTTCCTGCAATTCCAAAATCCATAGAAAAATGTAGCCAAATTTAGCACAAACCAACCGAACACATCAAACCAAAAATGCAAAATCCACCAGCAAAAACTAAAACCCTAATTAGTCAACCAAAAAAGAAAGTCAAACAAAAACAAAGCAGAATGCCACAAAAAAAAAAAAAAAAAAAAAACCCAAAAAAAAAAAAAAAAAAAAAACCCAAAAAAAAAAAAAAAAAAAAAACCCAAAAAAAAAAAAAAAAAAAAAAGACAGACAGACAGACAGACTCAGCAACATCCGAAAGGCAAATTGGAAGGACATTGAAACCGAACGCATTTACACAATAAACAGTTACAAACATGTCCTCTTTTCAAAACAAAAGAAAACCGAACAACAAAGAAAGGAATAAATAAAGCAGAAAAACCAAACCAAGCACACCAAAAAATTTCCCAGAGAGAACACAGATAGTTGTAGAGAAGAGCGGAAACAGCACAAAAAATAAATGAGAAGAGAGAGAAGAGCAATACCTTGGCCCTTGGGAATGAGATCTGAGAGGGAAAATCAAACCCTCACAGCAGAGAGAGTGAGAGCAATGGAAACAAGTGTGTGAGAATAGTAACTAACAATTGGAGGAAGAGCCAAAGAGAATAGAAAACCAAAATGGCGCGTGAGTGAAGACGAGTTAAGGTGAGACTATGACTATGCTACATCACGTGACGCTGTCAGAACTCAGAACACAAATTCATTTTATTTTATATTTTTTTACTGGAAAAAGTGTACCTTCTCCTCTGCTCTTTCAAACCCTGTCAGAAATTGCAACACACATAGCATCCTAAAATTTGTGATCCTTATTGTCGAAAAGAAAAAAATGATAACTCCCGGTGCACGCTTCATGTTACAAATTTGAGTAGTGTAGTGAATAGTGAAAAGTACCAAGTTGTTACTTGTTAGGGACTCTTTCAAATTCAAACTTTATTTTGAAATACCCTAGTGCCTTAGCGGGAACTCCACAACTTATAGTAATTATTATTTTTAATATAAATAATTTTATTTCAGTTAAAAATATTTTAAAGACATTAATTAAAAAGAGCATGTTACTATTAATCATTTGATTAGAGAGATTAGAAACTAAAATAAAGTAATGCTGATGGGAGGCAACGGATCTGTGGGGATATAAAATAATGGTGCACATGTTGTAAATTATTGTGGTCTCATAGACTTAATTTTGATTTCAAAAAATATAAAATAGTATCCGAAAAGGGCCAGAGAAGAGGATCATCTGGAGCATTTTGTTAGAAGTATAATATTATGTATGGTATTACTTATTACAACCTTCTATGATGCAAGCACCCAATTCTTTGACTTTTTTGGAAAAGGACGATGCCATCCAAACATACCACTACACCTTACACATGGATCAGAATATTCATTCATTCCTCACTATTTTTTTATATATATATATCATTAGAAAAATATAACAGATAGATCATAAAGATTGGACATAATTTTATCTATTCCGAATGTTATGTGGATTCCTAAAAGTTCCATTCCATACTATCTAACAAGTCTCACGTTTCTTGTAATTGAGTTTGTTCATTGACTTTTTTTTTCTTTTTTTTTAATTCAAGTTAATCTATTTTATAAAAAAATATTTGGGTTATCCATTTTTCTCATTATGGTTCAATTGTTCGATTTAATTTTTATACTGAATCCTTCTAACACCTAAATCGCATTCCTTTATAAGAAAGGTTGTTTATGTAAGTTTTTTAGCAACAAAATTATCTCAATTCTCAAACATTGCGTACTTAGTGACTGTTGTTGAAATTGTGTATCTACTAAAGTTGGCGTTGAAGGTTTACATAATTTATATAAAGTCTTATGTTTAAAATTTCATTAATGTTGCTCCTTTTTTTTTATTTAAGAAAAGTACAAACTATAGTTGACAAACGTATTGTATATTTTACTATTAATATGGAAGACTCTTAAGCAAATTTAAAATAAAATAAAAAAAATGCACTTTAGTAGACTTAAAAGTGTAGAAGCAGAAAAACCAATATATATATATATATATATAAAACTACTCAGAATTCGGTTC